TTGACTTTCGAAAAAGCAAACAAAAAGATTACAAACCGGCACCCATATGGGATCCCAGCACATGCAAGACAAGGACCTTAGTCACTAGGCTACCGTGCCGGGCTCAAGCGTTGCTTTTTCATAGCATACTTTCTCGTGGACATTTTGAAGCCCTTTGTATATATGGACTTCAAAATTGTTTTTCCACTAAAACAAACTCATCTTGTAATTCAATTTTCTACAGACTTTTACAGTTATCCTTGCAGATGGATTGAGATTTTGTATGATAATCTGTAAATATGTATAATATTTCGTTTATCAGTTAAAGTTGGAAACTTGCGTGGAAGATCCCTGTTTCTGAGCCCCACTGCGAAGTTGGATACATTAGCATAATCAGACTGTAGTGGCAGACTCTCTAGGGATTTGGGGGCTCTGTGAAAAGTTTTAGGCCTAACCATTAACCCCACAATGCAGAGATATCAGCAACATTGAAATCAGTAAATAGTTTATTAAATGCAAAGTCAAACAGTATGTCAACTTCATTAACTGTTGAGTTCAATATTCATAAAAATGTCAATACATTTTGATAACAATTGGTAGGTTGGAGTTTTCAGTCTGTGTGGATTTCTCAAGATTGGTAAGGAATCACAGTCTAGCATATTAAATAAATGCCTCATGACCAAAAACTTCCAAAAGCAAAATGGCACAAATCCTTTCGATTTCTTTTTATAAAAAGTGTTATTGGTTATGGTGGTGGGTGTGTGTAAAAATGTCAGAGGAGGAATGGTGCCTACAAGAGTTGCAAAGAATATAAAAAAAACAAGGCTTGCAGTGATCTTCAAAGAATCCTGGCTATGCCAGCTTTCCTTGGGGTTTCCACCTGGTCTTGTTGTGTTGGAATTGGTAGCTAGTTTGATGTATATTGCATATCCAGTGAACGTTATCTACCTTCACGACCGTGGTTCTGAGATACTTACTTTTCTATTTGGAACCAAGAAAGTTTGGGGTGGAGGGTGTGGTGCTAACTCTCCCTGCCTTTCCTTCAGCTTAAGCTCTTAACATGCGCTATCTCACTTGTCACTGAAAACTCTTTTCAAATCTGCATCATATTTTTTCTATCTCCTAGATAAGCAAAACTAGGCAAAAGCTGCCCAGGCTAAAATGGCTGGTAAGGGCTAATTTAAGAATTTTTTTCCACACTAAAAATAATTCATAATGAGATAATCCTCACAACCATTGACTACTTTGAGCTGCCCAAAAAGCAAGGACCAGGCCCATCATCTTAGCTGCGGTGTCTTCAGCACCTCTGTGCAAGTACCCAGTACGCATGGCTACATGTTACATGAAGACTGGGATAATCTTGGTTTATGCCACACCTGCTCCATCACAGGCACTTGGAGAATTCTCAACTGCAGTCTCTAGGCTGTGACTCAGTCTAGGATGCAGTTTGCTGATCCCTGTGCCTTGCACAATCTTACCTATAAAGGGGCTCAATAGCAAATCACATGTGGAAAGGCTTAGGTGATTGAGCCCATCACAGAGTAATGTCCCCAGCTGGCCGAAGTTGTCCCTCCCCACACATAGCACAAACACTGTTAGAATCTCCAAAGGCACCTATTTCAATGTAATCAACAGCAAGCTAATGTACCACAGGTTTTATGTGCCTCTCATCTGCCAGGTGTACTTCCAGGGACTTTCTATGTGCTAAACAATGGCTTAGCAATGCAGCATCTACTGCACTTGTACAAAGCAAGTGTTGTTCATTATCATCCTCTTTTACAGAAGAGAAATCACAACTTTCAGGATGACTTTGTCCTCCCCAAATTTCCGTGTCAAAATCCCACCCCCAGGACTTCAAAATGGGGCTGCGGACTCTCAAAGATTAAGATGCAAGGAAGGTCATTATGACAGGTCCAACTGTTCACAGGGAAAGGCAGTGTGGATCCAGAGAAGCACAGATGAAGCACCTTGTGAAGACACAGGGAGAAGACACATCTGTGAGCCAGAGAGATCGGAACCCACCCTTCTGATGCTGGGTCTTTACAGTTCAGTCTCCAGGACTGTGGGAAAACCTGTTTCTGCTTAAGTCTTGTGGTCAGTGGTAGTTCATTATGGCAGCCACAGAAGACAAGTACAGCATGTCCAGGTGACTTGCCCACACCTACACTGCTAGAAAACTCACTTGATGACCTCCAGAACCAGGCCATTTGGTTCTAGAGTCAATGGATTTGTGATTATAGAAATGTTTTCTCTTTTAAAAGGACTTATTATGTATGTATTGAGAAGGCAGAGTATGATAGAAAGAGAGAGGAAGGAAGGAAGGAAGGAAGGAAGGAAGGAAGGAAGGAAGGAAAGAAGGAAAGGAGATTGAGAAAGAGAAATACTTTTCCACCTGCTGGTTCATTCCCTAAGTGACTACAACAACCAGGGCTGAGTCAAGGCAAAGCCAGGAGCCCAGCAGACTGGTCTCCATGTGAATAGTAGGCACCAAGTACATGGACCACCTTCTGTGGCATTCCCAGGCCATTAGCAGAGAGCTGGGTAGGAAAAAGGGCATCCAGGACTTGAATCAGAGCTCTAATATGGGATTGCAGGCAGTGGCTTAATCTGTGTGCCACAATTAGAACATTTTCTGTGCTATCCAAGATGGTAGCCAGTAACAATGTGTGGTTAGTTCAACTGAACAGCTGAATTCTTAATTTACGTGAAAATTTAAATGATTCCCCAGTAGCTAGTGGCTGCCATGTTGAATGTGGCTTTATGCTTTTTCTAAGTATGTGATCACTGAGTCTTGTGGAATCTTGTGGAAACCTCCCATCCATGTGCTTTAAGGTTATTCCCACTCCCTGCTGTGCTTTATTTATTTGTCGTAGTCATTCCTATTTAACCCTTGTTGCCTGGTCTTCTGCAAATGGGGCGAATGTGCTGGTTAATTTTCTGGAATCCAGTGGCCTGGGCAGCACAGAGTCCCGGGCAGTCTGCTCTAAGCATAGGTGTTAGCCAACCAAATGCCAAGCAACACAAACACACAGTGACATTTTCAGAACTATTAATATTTCATCAGAAATGATCACTTTTCCTTTAAATACACTATCTTAAAAGGTTTTCTACATTCTTAACTATAATTTTATTCAGTCAAAGTCCTTGGAATTTTCCCCAAAGGAGCGCATCTTCAATGTTATAATGAAAATCAAAGGCGAATGAAGCTCAGATTGCAAAACTGAGAGTCAACATTTCCAAGAACTCAACCCTTCTGTAAAGAGCAAGGTTGTGTATTGGGCACCTACTGTATGCCAGGCACTTTACATATCATTAATTCAAACAACACACATTTACTGAGCACCTCCTGTGTGCCAAAATGTTTTACAGAGAGGGAGTCTCTCATTCCTCCAAAGCTTCTCAAATGTCACTTCCTCCAGGGGGCCTGCCTGGACCTCCTCCTCTTGTTGCCACCCTCCTCTGCCCAGGGCCTCATTCTTTTATTCTCCACTGAGCTCTCATTCTTTCCATCATTGCTGCTTCTTTACTCGCTCTGCTGATTTATGGTCCAGCTGACCCACAGGAACAGAGACGGGCTGCTGCTTTTCTTTTCACCTCCTTTCCTTCTTCCTCCATTTTTTCTCTTCCATTCCAGGGGACACTGCTGTCACCACCACCCACTACCCTCTCTTGCAGCCAGAGGCACATTCACTGTCAGCCCGTATTTAATAAAGTCGCTCCAGCGAGGGCAGGGTCCCAGGAATCAGCCTGCCTAGACTGGTCCCCTGCACTGCCACATCCTACCCGGAGCCCAGCACTGGAGGGAACTGTGTGCCTTGGTGGCGAAAGGAGCAAGGCCAGACCTGGAGCGCGGGACTTTGGGCCCAGCTGCCTGCTTCTTAGCAAATCGTCTGTAACGCCAAGGCTCATGTGCAGAACGAGAATAAAAGGCGATTTCATGAGCATAAAGAGGAGTGAGTGAGCCCAGCGCCTGGCTCAGGGTCCTTGTCGTTGGGAAGAGAGCCAGGCCGAGACTCAGCAGGCCTGCCAGGGATGTGGGCCCCGCGGAGCCCGGCGGCCGCGCGTTCCACACAGACTCCCGAGCGAACGAGGACAGCGCCCGTGTCCTGCAGTCCTCGTTCACCCCACCCGCACCCTCACCCGCATCGCAGCGGTCCTTTGGTGCCGAACCCGGCATCTAGCGCCCCGCGCCCCGCGCCCTGCGCCCCGCGCATAGAGCCGTTGCGTTTGAACCTCCGGAAAGAACTCTGGCGCTCGACTACAAGGGTGTGCCAGACACTGACTGGCAAATTGGCCCCGCCCTGCCCAGACCGCGCCCCCTTTCGCAGCTGGACTCTCTTGGCGCGGCAGGTGTCTTGCTGAGACCCTGGGACGGCGGCTGCGGATCTCTGATACTGAGATTTCAGGGTCCGGGGAGGCAGGGCAGCCGCTGGCGAGGGGGCCCGGAAGGGGGGCTGAGGCAAGCATCAGCTGAACCGTTGCCTCGGCTTGACCAGGGGAGGCGGGGGTCTCTGGGACGCTCCACCCTGGGCGGGCTTCTTGCCTGTGGCGCCTAGCTCGGGGCCAGGCCCTCGCCCTGCCGTATATGCAACTAGGAGGGCGAGGATGGGCTGAGCCGGACCTAAGTGCCCCAAAGTGTCACAAGGGGTGACTGCCAGGGACTGCGGGGAGAGCCAGCTCCCCCTTCTGTTGCTCCCAGATGTCATTCTGCCCGCCCAGGTGCCTGGTTCCTGAACTCCAGAGGATTCCACAGTTACTAAGCTACTGGTTTTTGTTGACTTTTAAATATTTTCTTCTAAGGGAGAGGGGGAGGAGGGCAAAAGTCAGGCAAGAACAAATAAGAAGGAATCGAAATAAGCTGGCCCTCCCCGAAAGAGAGCTGTTAGGTACCCTTAAACCACAAGCAAGCAGAAGGCCTCTAGACCCAATCGCCTTTCAGGAGCCACAGTCTGACCGTGCTGAACAACCTCAGCCAGACCCCACCCTCCGCTCCCTCCCTGGTGAATGAGGGACGGTGGTATATGGCCCCCTGTCTCCGCGACCTGGGTGGACCAAGGGGCTTCTGGAGAGAAAGGAGAAAGATGGCCAGTGGGAATGGGCTGCCTTCCTCCTTGGCCCTGGTGGCCAAGCGCCCCTCAGCCCTGGGCCCATTCCCCCGATACATCTGGATCCACCAGGACACACCCCAAGACAGTCTGGACAAGGCTTGCCATAATATCTGGAAGAGAGTTCAGGGCCTGCCTGAGACGTTGCAGGCCAAAACCTCAGCAGAGCAGCTCTCTGCCACTCCAGCTGAGACTCCGAGAGACTCCAGGCTCAGCCTCCAGGACGAGTGAGTAGAACCTCTCTAGATGAGCAGTATAGGGAAAGGCAAAGTCCAACGCTGGGGGGCTGTTCCGGCCTAAGTTCAGTCTGGTTAAACCCTAAGTCATGGGAACATTGCCTTTACCCAGCTTCCTTCACAGTGAATGGAACAAAGAGCTGACCAAGGTCCTGAAGTCACCTGACTGAAGGACCAGGGCCAGAGCTGCGTGCCAGGTTGCCTCTTTAATAGTCCTCCAAAATTGCTCTTTCTGAAGGTACAGCCACCCCACATACGGCTCTGGGGTCCTTGGAAGCCCTCCACCCCAGCCAAGGCCAAGGGTCATAGCACTCATGCCCTCGCCCCAGATACAACACCAAGACGCTTCCCTTTCCCATGCAAAGGCTAGGCATTTGCACAGACAAGTCTGGTGGTTTAAACCACATCTGGAATTTCCTAATACAGGGAGCAGCTGTCCCATTCAGCCTCCACAGAAGCTGCTATAAGAGCGCACATCAAAATATTTACTGGGAAGGCATTGACATATTCAGAGGACATAATAGAAAATTAAAGTGCGGAAAGATGGCTGTAAATAGCCAGCTTCCTGGATGGGGAATCCTGTGCCTGGGAGACACAGAGCTAAGCGTTTCTCTACCAGGGCAAAGTCAGGCAAACATTGTCGAGCATGGATCTTCGCAAGGAGCAGACAGGAAGAAGGGACCTCATTAGGGAAAGGAGGTAAATCAGCTGTGGCTTTTTCATGTCACTGTCAAGCACTTCTTCAATGCTTTGCATCTTCAAAGTGTGCTGTAAACATTAATTAATCTTCCCTAAGTTCCTATAAGGCAGGTATTAGTGTCCCCATTTTACAGATGGATTAAGTGTTAATAATTAAGTGCTAATTAAACACTAAGTGATAATTAAGTGTTGCCTGCTCCAACACACGCTCCAGCTCAGTTCAGAACTATTCTGAAGTGAGGGAGCACTCAGGCATTTATCAGATGCCTCTGGTTTGAGGGACGTTTAGGCAAGAGCTAAAACGTAGAGCCAAGTGTCATGGATACCTGACTCTTCACTCCCTGCCGGCCCCTTGCAGGCATCTCTGCTTGCTGCAGATGAAAGTGGGAGGCATTTTGGCTGTTCTTGCCTCTTCTTGCCTGTGCTCAGCACAATGTGGCTCAGACGGGAATAGCTTGGGTACAGCCAAAATCTTGCCGTCAGGCCCTTCAGTGGCCTAAAGCCTTACTCTTCCACCCATTGCCATCTGCTCTGGGACACGGCCCTGGCAGAGTGCCTTGGGGCCATGGTCAACCCTCATGGCTGAGGTGCTGACTGTCCACTTTGTGGGTCCAGGGTCAGTGTCAATTTCCAGTAGATGGCACCCTCTCTGCCAGGTCACACTGAATTAATGGAGACAGACTCTACTTCCAGTCTGCACTTGGCTGAAAATTGAAGTGGTGCACCTTTGGCCAGTTGCTTAACTCTGTTTGGCCTTGATTTCCTCATCTGCAAATTGAGAATGATTTGCCCTGCCTTGTCCACCTCAGAGCTGATAATGAGGATGGAATGTGATGGGAAGCAGAGAAGTGAAAGATGCATCATACAAATGAGGCTACCCTCAACGTGTAATCCATAGGGTTCCGGGTTTGTGCTTGCTAGTGGCTTTGGTTTGGGCCTTGCACGCTGTGTTCTGCACAACCTAGGGTGATTTAGCGGCCACCCTGGAGTCAAGTGGGCCCCATCCCCACTTCATCCAGAGCGGTAGAGCTTTTATCAATTTTACTTACTGGAGTTCTAAGGCTGTTTTTGAAAAAAGAGTTCTGCTGTTGAGGAAAAGAGCTAGGAAACCACTGACTTAGATGAATAAAGGATACCATAATCGTGTGGATATCAACCAGGTGGAACACAATGAGCTATTCTTGAAATCAAGGCAGCTGTGGCTGGTGAAGTCAGATAACTCCAGTTTCAGATTGCGCTTCAGCCCTGTGCCAGCGGCAGGATTTGCTGCTGTTTGATTTATCGGAGCTTTGGTTTCCTCATCTGCCAAGTGAACACGAGTTCTGTGCATTTCATGGGGTTATTGTGAGGGGGCTTGAATGAGATCTTCAAAGAGGCCAGCTAAGCATTAGGAGTTGAAAAACTTCCTTGTAATGACCATAATTCTTTAAGGCCTGCGATTATTTCATGAGGTAGGTATGATTTAAAATTCTTTACCATTGTAACATTTTAGTATGTAAAATTTCAAACATAGACTAGTATTGTGGGAACAGAGAATAATACAGTAAGTGTGCTTACCCTGTATGTTTATCACTGAACACCAATAATAATCAAATGGTACTATTCTGGTTTCAGTTGTTCCCACATCCATTTTGAAATGAATTAGAGGTTTGGAGGGGTTGATTTCTAGGTTTGGAGGGGTTGATTTCTTTCCCCAAATCCTCTACTGAGGAAGCAGCACAGTTTCAGAGGTGAAACCTGGTGCCACCTGAGTCATCATGAAAGCACAGTGGGCTGTGTTCCTTCCAAATCAGAGGCATTCTTGGGTAATAAACAAATATGATTGATCACACATAGGTTTCAGATCTAGGGAGTGTTTTTGGTGTTTCTGGGATACGCTTGATGCCCTGCATAGTCTTTCCTTGCTTAACGTGTCAGCCCGATTTTAAGTACTAAAATTCCAAGTCATAATTTTTTTTTCTTGATACCATCTGCACACATCGCAGAAACTCAGACTTCTCGAGTCTGCAAGGGGCCTTGGAAGCCATTTGTGTGGCAGAAGCCCTTCCTCAGCATCCTTGCTGAGTGCCCACCCTCTTGTGCACTTGCTTAGATGGGGAGCTCACTGCTGGCTAAGCAGCTCATTTCTCTGTGATGAATTCTCTCAAAACACCATTGGCTTCTGGTTCTGGAATCAATCTATCAAATCAACAGCCACCTGTTCATCTCAAGTCTTCCCTTAGAATCCCCAGCCAAGTCCGCCCTCTCTTTCTCTCAATAGTCTAGGTAGCAAAACAAGCCACAGCACTCGTCTTGGTATTTCTTTTGTCTCCAAGCAAGATGGCTCTAAGTTTCTCCTTTATGTCTGCTTGGTTTAGTTTCCTGTTCACAGTGCTAACTGCAAGAACCAAGTACTGTAATCCATGCAGAATCCGGTTTATGTAGATAGGATCCTCCCTGCCTATGTCTTATATCTTATTAATAGCAACCAGTATCATGTTCATCTTTCTTTACAAACCAATTTTGCTCTTTTAACACACATTGAATTCATTCATTCGCTCATTAAATGATTATGCATCTATTGTGTGTCCCTGGAACTGTAGGGAGATGGATATGTGAACCAGTTAAAGTCCTATCTTCTGGGCCCAGTGCAGTAGCCTAGTGGCTGGAGTCCTCATCTTGCATTCTCCGGGATCCCATATGGGTGCTGATTCATGTCCTAGTGGCCCTGATTCCCATCCAGCTCCCTGCTTGTGGCCTGGGAAGGCAGTCAAGGAAGGCCCAACACCTTGGGACCCTGCACCTACGTGGGAGACAGAGAGGGGCTCTTGGCTCCTGGCTTCAGATTGGCTTGGCATTGGCTGTTGCGGCCACTTGAGGAGTGAAGCATCGGATAGATCTTCCTCTCTGTGTATCTGAATTTCCAAAAAAAAAAAAAAGGCAATTGAATAAAATCTTTTTTTTTACAAAAGTCCTATCTTCCTAGACCTTACTTTCCAATAGCAGAGAAAAAGGGAAACCAGGGAGTTTCCCCTGCACTGCCTTGAGCACTGCACTTAGGACTTCCACATCCTTGGCTTTAGCCAAACGTGAGTTGAAATTATCTTGGGATAAATGTGTCTGGACAGTTTTACATGTAATTATTCTCTGGGTGATACAATATAGCCCCTTTTTACATAGTGTTTGTATTGTTTAAGGTATTACGAAGTAATCAAGAGATGAGTAAAAGGATGTGGTACAAGAAAGGCAGGTGTCTGGCATACTGGTTAAGATGCCCATGTCCCATATCCAGGTGCATGATAATGATGCCACTTTCAGCCCCTGATTCCAGATTCCTAGTAATGCAGAGAATTGGGAGGCAGCATTGATATGTCCAGTAACTGAGCTCCTGTCTCCCAGCTGGGAGCCTTGAATGGTATTCCTAGTTGCTGACTGCTATCCAGACCAGATCCAAATCATTGCGGACCAGTGGATGGGAACTCTCTCTCTTAAATAATTGCAATAAAACTTAAAGGAAAATAGAGGATGGGAATAGGTTATGTGAAAATCCTATGCCATTTTGTAGAAGGGTCTTGAATATCTACGGTCCCGGATTCCCCATGAACACTAGGGATGATTGTAAATTTAAAAAGCTCTGATCATTTTAGATGTAAAAAGGACTGACATTCTAGCATTCCGGTATTAAGAGAATAATAACAAATATGTAAAAGTGAACAAAATAATTTAAGGTCTTAATGAATGCAAAGATGGAAATGAGAGAAATCGGGAGCCTTTAGATGGGTGTCAGGGCAAGGCGGTTGTGAAGTGAAGTGACTCCTGGATGCCGAGAAGGAGCCACTCAGGTGGAGAGCGGACAATCTGCCCAGGCACAGGAGCATGCATTGCTAATGTCCTGAGGCAGTAGTTAACTCAGCTGGTTTGCAAAAGCCATGGAACATGGTCCTAAGCGATGTCACAGGCAGGCAGGCAGGCAAGGTTCCAGGCAGGAGACCTGGGACACCAAGGTGGGAGTGTGGAGTTTAGATTCCAACACTTTTGTAGGAATGAGCGTAACATGATCAAATTCACTATTTCCTGAAGATGTAGGCATCTTGTGTGTGGAGTTGGTTAGTAGGTGTGTGCAGGCAAGTGATGGGGGAGATGCTGTCACTATGCCAGGGGAGCCTGGTGATGGGAGTGGCTGTGGGGGCTGGACCAGTGCCATGTAGGCAAAGGAAGCAGGGGATTCTGTGTGTGCTGTGAAAGGTCCAACGGATCTGCGAATGGTTTAGGGCACACAAGGACATGAAAGCTGAGTGGAGGTTTCTGGCTTG